TCCTTCAGGGCAGAGACCACCTTTTCTTTCTAAGCTTAGAAGAGGGTCCATGTCTCATCCAAATGGCATGTTAAGTGAATATTTGATGAACTGAATGACTAATTCCAAGTGGAATTCCTCTTACCAGTAGGAGGACAATAAAGTCAAGTGTGAGCCCTTTGTGGTTAAATCAGTGATAGCCCTTCAAGTGGTCAAGCATGATCCTCTTCCCATTGGGGAAAGATGGAGCTTAGAATTTCTAGGTTTTAGGTTCAATATTGTGGCTAAATTTTTGCCTGCACACAGGTTGAAATACAGTTAAACTGCAGGCTGTGTAATTCAGTCTCAACAAATAGTATCAGGTAGTACACATCCTCCTGATTGGAAGGCTGGCTTAAGATGCTGATGCAGGAAGGTAGAAATATTTGTTTAATGTATCCTTGGAAATCATGAAAGTAATCAAAAGGGCATATTCATGACACCATGAAAGAGACTGGAGCTGATATCAGTGATACTTGAAGGTCTGTAAGTCGCATAATACTTCAACATCACATGTTTCTCCCTTGGATGAATAGATTTTTCATGGGAGCAGGGAACATTTGTTCCCTATTTCAGTGGTCTTAAAAACAAATTTTCTTATAAATAATAAAAAGTTCCATTAATTACAGTTGTAAAAATCAATTAACCATGTTCCCTAATAGGATTATGTCTTGGCATTTATTCATAACCACCTCTTGTTTGCTTTACCTACCTCTCATTCCATTAGCTGGCTAAATTAATGAACAAATATGTAGTATGGTTATACAAAAACCTCAGGCTGGGCCCTCCCTGGTGGCTCAGTGGGTTAAAGCACAGCACTAAGAAGCTTAAGCCACTTCCGCATAAGTTTGATCTCCGCCTGCCCCAGAGGTGACCACATGGCGTGGCAGACCTCTCCTGACCTGCCCGCTGCTCCCCTCAGCAGTGTACCTTATCTATCTGCCTGTTCTGCTCCTGACTCTGTCTCTGGTGAATCCTCTCACCTTCTGCATCTCTGGCCTGTACCCCTATGTGAATAAATAAATAAAATCTTAAAAAAAAAAAACCTCAGGCAAAGCTAAGATGCCTAATTCAATGTGATTTTTATACAAATTATTTAAAAATTATAGAGACAGTTTCCACTTTCATGTCTGATTTAACTTACAATTGATAGCAATCTGTCTAATTTTATTTCACTGGTTAGAAACTACGAAGCCTCCCAGTTTCTGTCTTCTCCATTTCTACCCACTGAGCAGCAGAGAAAGGAGTGTGTTTCTTTATAAATATATAGCGTGAGCTTCTCTCATTATGTTTTCTCTAGAATTCCACACAGGAGTCTGATCCACAATGAGAGTTAAGGCACATTGATGTCTTAGTCCCTTTTGGCCACTTTAACAAATACTCCATGCACTGGGTGGCATAAGCAAAATGTGTTCTTCACAGTTCTAGACGTTGGGGAGTCCAAGATCAAGGCAGCAGCAGGTCCACTGTATTGTGAGGACCTACTTCTTCCTTTGTAGATAGCCACCTTTTTGTATCTTCACATAGTAGAGAAGCAGGGATAAAGAGGATTAGCTCTCTTCCTCTTCTTAAACAGACACTAATTCCTCCACGGAGTACCCAACATTATGATCCAGTTATCTCCCCAATGCCTTAATTACAAATATCATTATATTGGGGATTAGGATTTCAATGTATAGAATTGAGGGACAGGAGATACAAACATTCAGTTCATAGCAATTAAATCAGATAATTCTTTTTATCTATCTATCTATCTATCTATCTATCTATCTATCTATCTATCTATCTATCTATCTATCTATCTATCTATCTATTGAGCTGAATGTTCTTATGTATCTACATAGATTCATCTATCTACCTGGATAGATCAAAAGAATTATCTGATTTGATTGCTCAGAACTGTATATATATAGATAGATACCATATAAAGAATATATTATATATAACCATATTTTTATCCTATAGATAAAGTGTAAATAATAGTAACAGTGAGTTACTAAATGAAATGCAATTATCTAAGCACCTAGTGAGGTTTTCCTTAAAATGCTTGATTATCTTACTAGAGAACAAAGGGTCATTACTTTGATAATCACTGAGAAAGTAGCACGTCTATACATTTGCTAAAATTACCAACTAAAATAGATTAGATTCATGCTATTACCAACAAATCTTCTTAATATAATTACTGAATCTTAGATTAATCAAAACTAGACTTATATGATAGAAAAATTCTACCTCCTATGTAATACTTCAAGAAGTTAGAAATATTTTGGACACAACTCAATATTTTTATAGTTTGCTATGAGATCAGTAAGTAAAAACAATAACTTTTTTGATACTAAAGTAGACAGACTAAGGATAGTAAATGAAAGTGTTCACAGATGTAACTAGTAACTGCCTAGTAATTTTAATGTCAAGTTCAATAATTTGTTCAATAATTTATGCCCCCATCCAAATAATGTATACGGGTTTTTGTCATACCTGAAAGTTTCTTTGAGGCCACCTCTTTTACAAAAGACCTACATTAGTAGCTATTTTGCTTTATTTTTATTGAGTGAAAATACATTTTTATTTTAAATAAGATCTGAAGATTATTTTCTTACATTGTTCTTCATTTCGTTATGCACAGCACCTGCGAATGATCTCCATATCCCATTGTGCTCTCCCCGTCCTGTTTTGATCCCTCTCTCCTGCTGCCTGCTGTATGCCTCAGATCATGTCAGCTTGCCAGTTTTTCCTTTTTCCTGACCTTTTGTTTGGTTCCCTTATATTCCACCTATAAGTGAAACCATCTGATGTTTTTCTTTTTCCTTCTAATTTACTTCGCTTAGCATAATCCCTTCCAGCTCCATCCATGTTGCTGTAAATGGCATGAGTTTTGTTTTGATAGATTTTCACTTTTATGACAAAAGAAAAAAGTGAAAATAGCATTAATATTTGTTTGGCAGAGCTGCTTCAAGAAGCAGCAGCACCCTATGTGGTGAGAGTTGTCTTTGCCAGCTCCTTCCTGGGAACTACTTACATGGACTGTGTATTCTCATGTCATTCTTCTTTGACTCTATGTTAGTATTATTTTAGGTTTTGTGTGTTATTTGAGATGACTTGGTAGGTAATTTTTTTGTGTGTCTTGGAAACCTCAAAATATTTTCCATTATACTAATGGGAATTGCTTCTTTGATTTATGCCATTTTCACTTGCAGAACATTTCATAGGAATGCTCTACTTTTGGATAGTGTAGGAAACATGTATATGCAGCTTTATATGTACAACAAATATGAAATAGTCTTCTTCTTAAAAATCAGCAACTTATCTGTTGAGAGATTAATAACTGCATGGTCCTGGCGCATTTGTTCATAGATTAGCAGATGGATATAATTAAGGTCCAAAATACTTACCAAAATAATGAATTAGGGAAAAATTATGAAATAGGGAGTTATTATTCATCTTAATAGATTTACCTGCTTTATTGAAAAGCTACCCAATACAAAATTTTGGACAACAGTAATTCTCAGGCTTCTTATCAAGATATCTCAGAATAAAAAACAAAAAAATAAACACGAAAATCCCAGGTAACAGAATTGGAATACCACTATTGCATTGTAAATGTAACTTTATTATCATCAATGCTTAACATGAAGTCTAAGTTGTTAGAAATAGTCAGTTAGGAATGAGTTGCTTCTCTAAGTGTTTTAAGAGAGGTCTTGTTTTTTGAGTTGTAAGTTATTAGTTTATACAAGGGACAGAACAGAGCAATTTTATCATTTATGAAAATGTAGCTACTTTTAAAACACTTGCCTGTAATCAGAATGGGGGGATTCTCATGCCATATAAATCCAGACTCTTTGTGGAGAAGTACTGGTTGAGTGAATTCTATAGAACAAAGGAATAGATAATAATAGGTTGGTGGGCAATGACTTCTGGTGGGAGACTCAAGTATCTAATCCAAAAGCCAGCAGATTTCTCCAACATTTGTTAGTTAAAACATTTTCTTTGTGAATGTACTATTTCTTATGTAACTTATAATTGAAATCTGTTCCTGAGACTATACTAGAATTCTCGAGAAGATGGTGGACTTAAAATGGAAAATGGGTTTCTGAGGACTGGCTAAGGCCTCCAAATTATCTTCAGGATCCCTCTTTTATCTGTGATTGTATTACTTGTCCTTTCTGTTGCCAATTTCTCATTGATCTAGATAGCTACAAGTGTTCATTCCTTTGTATATTCAATTGTACTTAATAGTTTTATGCGATGAACAAGGTGGGAAGCTTATGTATGGTGAGAAGATTCATTTACCTGGGGAAGTTTCACTTCTGTCCTGTGCTGGTGAGAGAACAGTCATTCTTATACCGACTTGAGTAATTTTTCTAGTTAAGGCCATGTGGTGAGAGTTTTGCTTATGCTGGCTGACATCTGTTCTCTGTGGATGGATGTCCTGGCCCATGCTAGAGAGGTATTAGAAGGAATAGTGTTTTGGGAATGATGTCTGAGATGTTACACATCAACTCCTTGTTTTCCCAATGAGAATTAATATTCATTAGAGAAAGTGGCTTTTTAAGGAGATGGGAGATGACTATCTTTTATGAGTCCAACTGCCCTCATGACTTCTCAGGAAGTAGATAGGGGCTAGAACCTGGGAGGGCAGGTATGGACTCAGAGTCAGCTGGAGGAGCATTTGTGACAAATTCTAGAAGAGGGCTTTGTCACTTGCATTGGAGATCCCTTTTCCAGCTTCCATTTGGTCACCGAAAAATGCCAGAATGAGTCAAATTGAATAGTGTCTTAAATTGGATTCGTTGAGGGACAGATGTTGTGTAACAGCCTGATGTGGGGTACTGGACAGGCTTAACAGGTGGGGAATCAATTTCATTTAAAATTTTTCCCATGAAGAACCTGTATTCTTGCTATTTACATGGGTTTTCTTCTCCTTTTCTCCATCCCTTTGTACCTGGTATTTCTCCCTTCGATTCTTCCTTCTTTCCCAGGTGTGTTTGATAACTGCTCCCACACTGTCAGTGACAAGGGCTGGGCCCTGGGGATTCGCTCAGGGCAGGACACAAGAAGGCGAGATGCTCGCTTCTTTTTCTCCCTGCGCACTGACCGCATGAAGAAAGCTACCATTGTGACTAGCCACAGCCGCTACCAGCCAGGAACATGGACACACGTGGCAGCCACTTACGATGGACGGCGGATGGCCCTGTATGTGGACGGCACTCAGGTGGCTAGTAGTCCAGAGCAGTCCGGTCCCCTGAACAGCCCCTTCATGGCATCTTGCCGCTCTTTCCTCGTGGGGGGGGATAGCTCTGAGGACGGACACCATTACCGTGGACATGTGGGGACACTGGTCTTCTGGTCCACGGCCCTCCCACAAAGCCACCTCCAGTACAGTCTTCAGCATCCAAATGAAGCAGAGAAGTTGACTACCTTGATCCTAACAGCCAATTTCCAGCCCATGGAAGAACAATGGATCCCCTTTAGAGATGGGAATTACCCTCGGCTGGAGGTCCTCCAGGGCCCAGGCCCTCAGCCTGAGATTCTGTCACCCCTGAAACCTCCACTCTGTGGGCAAACAGCTTGTGACAACGTGGAACTGATCTCCCAATACAATGGACATTGGTCCCTTCGGGGCGAGAAGGTGATTCGCTACCAGGTGGTGAACATCTGTGACAATCAGGGCCTGAACCCCACGGTGAGTGAGCAGCAGATCCAGCGGCAGCATGAGGCACTCAATGAAGCTTTCAGCCGCTACAACATCAGCTGGCAGCTGAACGTCCACCATGTCCACAACTCCACCCTGCGCCATCGGGTTGTGCTTGTCAACTGTGAGCCCAGCAAGATTGGCAATGACCACTGTGATCCTGAGTGTGAGCACCCACTCACGGGCTACGATGGAGGTGACTGCCGCCTGCAAGGCCGCTGCTACTCCTGGAACCGCAGGGACGGGCTGTGCCACGCAGAGTGCAACAACATGCTCAATGACTTCGACGACGGTGACTGCTGCGACCCTGAGGTGGCTGACGTGCACAGGACCTGCTTCGACCCTGATTCTCCAAAGAGGTAAGTAAGAGCTGGGGGTGAGAATGTGCTGTTTGGAAGGGGCATTTTTAGCATTACTATATTGGGGGGGTGGCTTCTGGAAATGAAAGAGTGTTCACACAGCTCCCGAATCATCATTCATCCACCCTGTCAGACATTATCGAACTTCTGTGAAGTACTAGTTTTGTGTCAGGTAATCAGAGACACATCACTCTCTGTGGAGCAGACAACTGTGCACTTGCTGTGGTGTGCACCTGAAGACCAATGAACCAGGGGCTTGAGGCCCAGGAAAAGGGACAACTTGGTCTACCAGAGGAAGCTCAGGAGACATTTCCTGAGTACAAATAAGATTCAGATGCTTCTGGAGCAAGATAGGGTTAAATCGCACGCTTCCATTTCTATAGGTATTTTTCTTTCTGGGGATTGCCATTCAGGAATTCCACCAACTGCTGCTATTGGTGGGTTGAATCTGAAGATGTTGAACCGGTGGTGTCAATGGTGGAGTATAAGCTATACATGGAATTTCTATGCTTTGTGGGGGAGTGGTCAGCATCCCTATCTCTCCCCTCCTATACCTCATCCCTGTGTCATTCAAAGGTCAACTGCATAAATTGATAGAAACCAATCAGTACCAGCTACAGCTGAGCACTCTTAGATTCCCAGCAAAGTCATACAAAATCATACAGTTACTCCATGAGTCACTGGTGCCATTTGAGCTGCTTCATGGACATGGCATTCTCTATCTACCCATAAGTCTTCCTTGGGTGTCTGTTAAATTACATTCTCCACATAGTATCCGGGAAGATCCTTTGCAAAAGGAAAATCTAGTTCTGTGACTTGCCTTAAATTTCCCCTGCTGCCCTAAGAATAAAACCCAGATACCTCACCTACTTCCTGCCAAACTCTCCAGCTTCCTCCCCACAGCCTCTGTCCTCACCACACTACCTGTCTCCTTGACTATTCTGATCCAGGGACAGACTAAGACTCTTCTTGCCCTTTCTTCCATGAACTGTTTCATGTTGCTGGAACCCTCTTTTTCTTGACCTTCCCCAGTGAGTTTTCCCTTATAGTACCAATATTTACTTAAATGTCCTGTCCTGGAGAAGGTCTTTCCTGACGCCAATTTAAAGCAACTACTGAATAATTATTATGCACAACTTACTTTAATTCTCTGTGTAAGACAACACTTCTGATGTTTTCTTGTGCATCTTTCATTTGTTGTTTTCTTCCAGAATCTTTCAATTTCATGAGATGAGCATCCTTGTTAACCACTATTTGCTCAGTTTCTAAACAGCAGCTGCTGCTTAGCTGTTTATCTCATGTTTTTTTTTTTTTAAAGATTTATTTATTTATTCATACAGAACTGGGGTACAGGCCAGAGGCTGAGGGGCGGTGAGAGGCTTCACCAGAGACAGACTGGGGAGCAGAACAGGCAGATCGACGAAGTACACTGCTGAGGGAAGCAGCGGGCGGGTCAGGAGAGGTCTGGCTCGCCATGTGGTCTCCTCCGGGGCAGGCGGCAGAGACGGCAGGCGGGAATCGAACTCATGCGGAAGTGGCTTCAGATTCTCAGTGCTGTGCTTTAACCCGCTGCGCCACCAGGGAGGGCCTATCTCATGTTTGTTTTAATGGATGTGATGTGTCTTTGGTTCTGAGACAGAAGCCCATGATAGGAGTCTTATTTCTTGGAGGTTGCAGGGGTTGGAGAATATTATGGGAGGCTAGAAAGAGAAAGGGGGTGGTAAACTTGTTAATTTGTGTATGCATACAGGGCATCACCATTACATAATTAGTACAAATTTAAAAAAAGGCTCATACCAGCGCTAGGATGTTGTGTTGATGGGAGAATGGTAGAATTAGTCTCATTTCTCACCAGTTACCTGAATGGCAGCCTTTGTGTAAACCACAATTTGTGTTGTAACCCATGGTGTCCCTATATATGGGTACTCACTAAACACCTGTCAGTATGTTGGCTTATAGTTCAGACATATGCTGTCAAGGATTGAGAGTAAGATTTGGAATCAGAGACACATTGAATCCCAGCATGCTTGCCACTTAACTAGTTAGGTAAATTGTGCAAGTAATTTTTTGTAACTTAGGAATTCTGTCTGTAAAATGGGTCAACTGCAGCAATACTTTGTATTACCTCTAGGGCTGCTTTTTGAATCAAGTAAAACAAGGTACAGGAAAGTTGTTAATTTTGAAACTACTGTTTGTTGTTATTATTATCATTATTAGAGTTGACAGGTGGAAAACCTTTGTTTATATAATCACACATAGAGAATTTATATTATCAGAGATATTTGTATAATACAGATTCTGTTTGGGTTTGGTTTTCAGATTTTGATAACCTCAAGAAGAAGCTCAACCTCACTAACAAAAATGGTTGCCAATTTTAGAATCTCCAGAGAGAGGGAAATCTGGCTTGTTCTTATTTGTCTACTTGCTCATTACAAGAACCCAATGCCCTGACTCAGAGAGCATGTTTCAAGGTACCCAGGAATCATTCTCCTTGGAATGGTCTCTATCTATCTGAATCTGCTGTTGTGGATCTCGTCAGAATAAGTGTTATAACTTATTCTCTTCACTGCTTCACAGTTGCCATGGTAACTCATTCCTTTGTATCTGTAGGCCCAAATGTGTTTCAAACCTTTATTTGTAAGGAATTCTCTTATCTCTACATGCAGAACTCATATTGTGCAATAAGAGAAACTATTTACACTTTTTGATAATTAAAAGCAATTCAATCAAAATAATGAATAAACTGTTATAAAAAAATCAAATTACACCAAAAGAAGTAAGAAGGAATAACAGTCTCCCACCTGACTTTTTCACTCTACTCTGTAGCCCTGCTTCCATATGGACCCATTTTACCTGTCTTTTGTGGTAATTACCCACTATATCCAAACATCATATTTATATTACTTGATTCATCAATTTTAAGCATTAAGTGTTGACTTATGCTAATGGTGAAGATGAGACGATCCGTCTTATATTGTCTCTTCCCTTTCCCTCCCATCTTTCAACAATAGTTACTTTTCTATTTTTGAGTTGGGTCAGCTATATATATTTATCATATCATGTCAGTGAAATATATTTTTGTTATCACAAAACAAAGTGTCATTCTATCATTATCCTTGCTGGCATAGCTTCTTCTCCTCACCTTACCACCTCGGGTCTCTACTTCTTGTCTTTTTTTTTTTTGGTAGAAGAACTGGGGCAAAAGCCAGAGGTACAGAGATCAGAGGATCTGCCAGAGATAGAGTGGGGTAAAAACAGGCAGACCCACTGAAATACATTGCTAAGGCAGCATTAGGCAAGACACAGGTCTGCTGCACCATGTGGGTCAGCTCCCTGGCCAGGGACTGAACTCAGACCCATAGGGGTGATAGTGCTCAGACTTAACCCTTTGGCCACAAGGAGGTCCCTGGTCTTTCTTCTTTTATCCTTCTTGCCTTTCTTCTTCCCCCCCATCTTTGTTTCCATGCTTTTATTTTTTTTATAGCTTTAATTGTTTTTTTCTTATCAGCAAGTCTATAAAGTATATGTGTGTGCTTCAAATGTGCCTCTCAATTTCTGTCTTCAAGTTCATTCTGTTTTCCTTTCCTCTTCCATTTGACCAGTTACCTTTATTTCTGCTGTGCAGTTGTAATCCTGAACTTCACGGCTTTTTTGGATTGGATTCTGTTGATTTTCATGAATATATCTTAATTTACTACCTTATTTTGTTGGAAAACACCTTTAAGTAACTTTCTAAAAAGAAGATGTTTGAGGTAACTTTTCTGAAAATGCACTCCTCAGATGTTTTTGTTTTTGCCTTTACACAAAACTGATAGGTTGTCTTGGTGTAAGATTTTATGTTGAAAAACACTTTCTGTCAAAATTTTGAAAAAACGCATTAATTGCCTTAGCTTCTCTTCTGATAAAAGTGTATCTTTATGGAGATTATTTTTCCTCTTAGACTCATTAAAATCTTATTCTCAGGGATGTCATTTTAAATATTTATGATGAACTTTCATAGGGTTGGCATTTTATTTTTCTTTTGTTGAACACTCAGCGGTCCTTGTAATTTGGACACCAGTGTTCCTCGTCACTGAAAATTTTTATACTTATTTATTCGGTTTTCTCTATCCTCTTGAAATTCCCCCCATGAAATTCCCAATAATGGAGCTTCTGTACTCATTGTCATCCCTCCCCATAGATTCTATCTCTGTTATTTTGAGATTTCCTTGAGTTTATCTTCTAACTTGTCTACTAATTTTTAATTTTAGCAATCATATTTTCAAACCTCATTCTTTGAATTTCTGGACTAATTTTATTTTAAAAGGCTATGCTTTGTGAGGTTAAAAATAAAATTCACGGCCCTCCCTGGTGGCGCAGCGGGTTAAAGCACAGCACTAAGAAGCTGAAACCACTTCTGCATGAGTTCGATTCCCGCCTGCCCCGGAGGAGATCCACATGGCGTGGCAGACCTCTCCTGACCCGCCCGCTGCTCCCCTCAGCAGTGTACTTCGTCAATCTGCCTGTTCTGCTCCTGCTCTGTCTCTTGTGAAGTCTTTCACAACCCCTGAGTCTCTGGCCTGTGCCCCAATTCTGTATGCACAAATAAATAAATCTTTTAAAAAAAAAAATCTTTAAAAAAAAAAAATAAAATTCACTCTGATTTTTTCCCTCTGTGCACTCTGTCTGGTTCATCTATAGTCAAGTTTCTTTTTCCTTGCCCCATCCCTTAATTCCTGTCTGTCTTTCATGCTCTTAGATTTCTGCAAATGTCTAGTTCTTGTTATTGGATAGAACCATGCTTTTTGATCTCTACTTATGAAAAAAAGGAACAATTGCTGATGAATTTCTTCTTTCAGAGGCAGAAATGTTAAGGCAGGTTTTCCAACACCCTTATATTTATTTCATGCATTAGATTTCCCTTCCCCCCAACCTCTGCTTTTATCCCATTTGCTGAATTTTATTATTAAAAATATTGAGTGTTTTTATTTTATAACAGTTTATTTTTACATCATTTTGTA